TGAATATGTGAGAGAAGGACCACAATCTCACACTTTTCTGGGCTTTCATGTGGATGGTGTAGAGCCCCAAATATGGTCACAGAACAAATGTGATCTTTTTGACCCCTTCTTTGGATCCTCGGTTTTCCTTGTGGGCACAGTTAGATGTTGATAATATGAAAATTTTAACCAAAGAAACTTTGGCATATTTTTTGATTAGTTTTAAATAAAAACAATAAAAAACATCTACTATTAACTTAATCCATTTCAAATGGACATTTTGAAAATGAGATCTCACGGGTCATTTTTGGTGGAGCTTAGGTACTTTTTCACCTGCAAGTAAGTTTCAGTTACCTTTAATAGACTTAAACACTAACTGCTTGTTATAAGGGAAGACAATTGGAGATTGTTTGTGTTACATTGCTTGTGATGGTTTTGGTGGCACAGTAAAAGGCTCGGCTGCAAGGAGCAGTCTTCAGACAACTGACAGGAATCAAATATTGACTGCATTCCAGATGTTTGAGCGGGCTTCTCAAAACATAAAGAATGTAAAGTTTTTCTTTACTAGCTCTAAATACATTACAAACCATGAACTTACTTCAAAACTAGAAGAGTGCTACTGCAAGGCAAAGACTGTGAATGGTACTAGATCACACCACAGTTTCATTCCGGTGTCAAATGGTAAATTAGAAATGAGGAGAATATCTCAAGATAATTTATGTAATGAAGTTTCAGTATCTGAAATACAAAACGAGATTGTGCCAGATATCTCTCTGTACCAGCCAGGTCAATACAATACATGTATTTATGACATCAGGTGGTTCATTGGGAATATTTGAAAGCGTTCAGGTGAACATGGTGATGTCTATGTGAGATTCATAAATCGAAATGACGGAACCCTCATCTGTCCTCCTGAACATCAGCAGAACCATGCAGGGTAACGTGTCAGCACATAATCTGTTGTATTATGGTACCAGACGTTCAGGGAAGAAGAGCACAAAATTATCACCTTGACACTGCAGATTATGACAGAATCCAAACATTACTTCCAAAGTTCATTAGTAGTTAGGAACACTTATGGTGCAAGCTACCAATACAGATGATCTACATCAGGGTGCTCAATACGTCGATCGCGATCTACCAGTCGATCGCCAAGGTCGTGTGGGTAAATCGCCGTGTCTTAGTACTCGTCTCGGACTCGCGTTTGGACTCGGTCTTGTCTCTCACTCAAGGTCTGACACTCAACAAGTGCGATCATATTTCATTACGGCCGCTGCTGTTGGCAATAAACTTGTAGCGGGGTGCAGGAGCGTGTGGGGCGTCTCAGTGCAGCCTGTGCGCTCATTTGAAACCCGCAGAGACTCTACGGCACATCACAAACACACACGCTCCCTATGCACGGCTCGTCTGCAACAGCGTGTGCCCTCGTGTACCCGCGTGCATCACAGGGCAGGTTAAACTTCCTAAACATCCTACCTGTCCATCTGCCTCAGGTCAGCACGCCGCCCCTTGCCTTTTCACGCTCTCGCTCCTTCCTGCGTACAGCGAAAACAAGCCCCTTTCGCAGTGCGCGCTGATTAGAAGAACAAGACGAAATGTGAAGCAAAAACGAGTCTAAATTTGTGTTACAGTGTTGGCACAAAGCAGGTCTACAGCATAGAGCAGACCTACAGAACAGACCTACTGCGACACAAATGCATCTGTGTTTGTCACGATGTGTGTTTGGTTTGGTAAATATGCAGAGGCTGGTAAATATCACTGCAAAACCAGAAAAGAATGCAACTCCAGTTTGGAACTTTAAAAAAACAGGTTTAAAAATCTTCCTTCACTTTTTTCACAGTTTTGTTTAAAGTGCCAGAGGAATTTCTCTTAAAGAAGGGGTTCTCAAACTGTGGGTGAGGGTCCAAAAAAGGGGCACAGAGTGTTTCAGTGCAGTTTGCTTGGCTTTGAATTAGGTAGATCATTTTGACTTGGTCATTTTGTAAGTAGCTCACATGCTGAGAAAGTGTGAGTACCCCTGATCTACATGTAAGTGGCAAAGGGACCAAAATGGGCAGATTTTTCCAGTATGTTGGTATTTTCTGCTGAGGTTTTTTTTCACACTGAATTTTCAAAATGTAATTTCTAGCAGTTGAACAAACAACAGACCAGATTACTGTATTTTGGTAACTTTTATGTCAGTATCAAATATTTCCTTGTTAATTTTACTGCCTTCTTGTAATATTTTTGTGCAAAAATAATATACATATGGTGGTACTGAAAGCCATGGTTATAAAATCAGAGACTTTGTGATTTAACAGGCCATGAGTATTCCAGTTGTAATTTGCCTTTGATCAGTTTCCATGAATACTATCTTAACTTTTGTTGCTTTACTTATTCACCATGAAAAGCAGTTTCTTTGTGAGATAACAAATTATCTTCCTCAAATAAAAATAAAATAAATAATGCAAACAAACCTTTTTTCATAATTTTGTACAGAGTTAATAGTTAAATTTTCTCATAAGATTAATGACACTTTTCCAAGCAACGTACCACAAATAATCTCCAGTTGTCTTCCCTTATAACAAGCAGTTAGTGTTTAAGTCTATTAAAGGTAATTGAAACTTACTCGCTGGTGGAAAAGTACCTAATCTCCACCAAAAATGACCCGTGAGAGCTCATTTTCAAAAATTCCATTTGAAATGAAGGAAGTTAATAGTAGATATTTTTATTACTTTAAACTAATCAAAATATGCCAAAATTTCTCTGATAAAAAAAATTACTTTCGTCAACTTCAAACTGTGCCCACATGGGGAACCGAGGATCCAAAGAAGGGGTCAAAAAGATCACATTTGGTCTGTGATCATATTTGGGGCTCTACACCATCCACGCCAGAAAAGTGTGAGATTGTTGTCAGAAATGGGCCTTCTTTCAAATATTCAAGTTCAGCAGTTAGTTTGTAAATATCTGCTTGGAGTAAATAGATCTTGGACCTCAAAAATTGAAAAAAAAAAAAAATAATAAATTAAGCGGAAACCAAATGTGAGATTTGGGGGCCCACAGCGCCCCTCTTAATAAAGATACCACAACAGATTCTGAATCTATGACCAAGAATCTACAATAATACACATTTTCAGCTTCTTAGCTCTATTTTTTATGAAGTTATGGTCTCTCAAACATGCTTATAAATTAAGGCTTCCAAAAAAATTTCAACGGGCCATAATTTAGGAACAACTCATGGGATTGAGCTAAAATTTGAGATTCTTTCATTTGGTGATTTTAGAATTTTTTAAAAATTATTTCAGACAAATCTGAGATGACTCATAGGGGAGATTCCTTGAAAACGGCTGATTTCATACGGACTGACCTGGTGCAACAAAATATTTAAATGAGCATGAAGCTATTCAAATCTCTATTATGCACAGATAATATAACAGTTAGGGGTGTCAAATTATCGCGTTAATTGCGATTAATTAATTACAGTGATATTTAGCGCGTTATGTTTTTAATCGCGTTAATCTCATTTTTAATCTCTAACTTTACTGTTTCTGTATGCGAGTTGCTTTATTATAAAACCTTTTTTTATTTGTTGTTGGGACAACAACACACACACACACAAAAAAAACACATTTATAATTTTTTTTATTTCGGTAATTCCACTCATTGCCGGAAACCCACACAAAACGCGCGCAGTAAGAGCGATGTAAACGTCATGTTAACGTTGGCGGCGTCAGTCACACAATGGACGAGGTCGAAGAGCCAGGAGAACAGAGTCAGCAGTGCACAGGTAAAAACACATTCGTGTCTTGGAAATTATTCTCCCGATGTGAAATATAAAAGAAAATAACAAATATAAAATCGCCTACAACTTAAATGTCACTGGTGAAAACAACCTGCATAGGCTCATGAGCCTATGAGACTATAGGACCTATAGTGACCTGTGACACGAGGGGACACGCACACAAACACACACAAACACACACAAACACACACCTTCATCATCGTCATTAACCTGAGAACGCGCGGACCACGTTTCCTTCCGTAGACACTGCGCGGACACCGACGTGCTCCCGTGCGCCACTTATGTTTTCTCGCATACACTGCGTAAACCGCGCTTCCTCCTGTTCGCCTCTAAACCAGAACTAACACCAAGACTAAAACCGGGACTAACCCAGTCCAGGACTAAACCAGGACTAAACTAGGACTAAACCAGAACTAAAACCAGAACTAAAACCAGGACTAAACCAGAACTAAAACCAGAACTAAAACCAGGACTAAACCAGAACTAACACCAGGACTAACCCATTCCAGGACTAAACTAGGACTAAACCAGGTCTAAACCAGGTCTAAACCAGGACTAAACCAGGACTAAACCAGGACTAAAACAAGGACTAAAACCAGTGATCTCATATATAAAGCATTTCTCTACCAATAATATTTTTAATATGGTTAAGGAAAGACTGGACTTTTTATTGTCTTTAAGTAGACAAAAGTTATTATGTTCAGATTTCCTCGTCTTTGTTACTTTACAGCAAACAGTTTCTTATTCATGGAGACTTGGGCTCAACAGCCAAATTGGAGAGATTTGTTAAACAATAAATGACTTTATAAAGTCACTTTTTTTAATCTATATCAGTCTTTTGATCTGCCACAATAATGTAATAATGAATTTAAATGAAAATACCTCAAATTGAAGGCTTTTCTCAGCAATTTTTAGGTGAGATTAAAAAGAGATTAATTAGATTAATTAATTACAGATCATAATTAATTAATCTCTCAATTTTTTTTATCGCATGACAGCACTAATAACAGTATATTAGTCAGTCATCGTATTAAGTTAAACAGGGATTTGATGACGTTTTTAATTTAAGGCCCACCCACAATTGATGTGGCCCATCCACAACTGGAATCCTAATGACGTTGTACCTTATCCACACCCAAAGAAGTCCCTGTATGCTCATGTTTAATGCAGGGCGGGCACTACGGTGTAATATGAGCTCAATGCTGAGGCTGTACTTTAGGTGGATAAATAGAAGCTCGTACCTCAGTTTAACGTGTCTGTGTCTGTGGTGAACAACATGAAGTGCTCTGTCCTCTGCCTCTTGGCTGTGGCCTTTGTGCCTTTGCTCTCCGCTCTGAAAGGTCAGTCACTTTGAATATACTTTTAAATGGAAAAAGTAGAATGTCTATGTTGTATAGTCACAATTCTATGACCTCACATAGCTTCATATGGTGTCATTTTTCCACAATGTCAACTGGTTGTATCAACTTGTTTGTTTTGGTAAGATTTACTACATCACAAATGCATTGAACTGGAACATTTGTATATATTGCATTATTCAATTTATAAGATAAGAGCATCTCCATGGAGACAATCAGATGGTGAACCCTCTACCTAAAAGATGAGCACCTTAAAGCTATTCAATTATATAATGACATTTTCTCTCATTAAAATTGTGTTTTTAGTGGCTTCAGAGAACGATAGACCTTGTCCAGTGAGTGCTATGAACACTGATGGTCGGCTTGGTCTTTGCCTGGAGCAGTGCTCCACAGACAAGGACTGTGAGGGGAACTTGAAGTGTTGCTACACCGGCTGTGGGCACCTGTGTTACGAGCAACTTAGAGGTAACATGTCCCCCTGGAATATATGAGGATGTTGTTTTTAAATTATTGCTTGTGGTTTCTTAGTAAAGGAGAGTGATCAAGTCCTACATTATCCTTTTATCCTACATTCCTCACCTCTTTGTATAAATTACTTTTTTGTGGTTACTAAGAATATTTTTTAAATATATTTGAGTGCTTTCTTAATGAACTTCTTCTTCTTAACTTCTTAAATGTCCACAGAAGTGCCTAAACCCAAACCAGGATCGTGTCCTAGAGCAGACGGCTTTGGGATCTGTATCAATACATGCAACTCTGACCAAGACTGTGAGAGGAACTTGAAATGCTGCTCCAACGCCTGTGGGCGAACCTGTCAGGAGCCAGTCAAGGGTAATACACCCTTCAGTGTTTGTTTAGTTGACCTGCCATTTAAAATGACTCAGGGATAATTGACTGTTCAGTGATACTCTTTCACAATACAAGCACCGGATCATATTCTGATTTCAGTTGAATTAATTGTTTGAAAAATAATAATGAAGTTGGTTTGTTATAAAACTAACATACATTCAACATTCTGTACATACAATCTTTTATACCATCATACATTTTTTTGAGTTGATCATGTTCTTTTTAATGATAAACACTATATTGGCAAGGCTGCCAATCTGTGACCAAATCACAATTTTAATTGTAACTTCTTAAATGTCCACAGTGCCTAAACCCAAACGAGGATTGTGCCCTGCTCCAGACGGCTTTGCGATCTGCATCCATTCATGCACTTCTGACCAAGACTGTAAGGAGGACCTGAAATGCTGCTCCAATGGCTGTGGACAAACCTGTCAAAAGCCAGTCATAAGTAAGACACCCTTCTGTGTTTGTTTTGGTCATCTGGGATTGCTATGTAATACACTATGTAAAACATGATCAAAACAGTAACAACAACCACCAAAGGGCATATTTTATTATTTTTATTTTATGAATGAATCAATAACATCTATGGGAAGCTAAGAGTTTGGCCGAATCTCCACCAGAAAAATCACAGTGCACCTTTAATACTGTTATTTCTGTTTTTATCTCCACAGGAACCAAACCAGGATCTTGTCCTGCTCCAATCCCCCATTTCACTACATGTGATGATCAATGCTCTGACGACAGCGAATGTGACAAGAACCTCAAATGCTGCTACAGCGGCTGTGGCTACGAGTGTAAGAGCCCTGAACATGGCAACCAGGAAAATGTGAAAGGATAATAATCATCACAAAGCACTGCACTGTTATATATGTATCTCTGTCTCTCTCTCTCTCTCTCTCTCTCTCTATATATATATATATATATATATGACTATTAAACTCCATCTCTTTTCTGACTTTGCAAAGACATTGTGCAGTTGCCATAAATAAACCTGTTTGTCAGCCTAGTTATTTTTGCATTAAAATGTTGTTGCATTCCCTGTGATCCAACTCTTCTGTTGTGTTTATTTGTTAAATAAACATAAGTCATAAGATGACACACCCCTCTCTTGTTGTGCTAGTTTGAACAGTTTCATATTTTAATCATTTAAGTCTTTAAATCTATCCTTTGTAATTATATAACTATATATATATATTATAATTATATAACTATATTCTCACATAACATCATCAGATGGTGATAGTGTGATAGCTTGACAGAAGAAAACTAGAAAGCACAAACTGAACAAAGGCCAGGTGAGGGGATGGGGAAATAGATTTCAAATTTGACATCTACTGGTAAAAAAACAAAAAAAGGAAAAAACTTACAGATGGAAGTTTTAATGTGGTTAGTCAGCTAGAGTTAGGTTTCAGGGTTTAATACCACAGGGAGGTGGAAGGTGAGAAAGAAATAGGAGTAAATTAATGTCATTACTATTAGTATTAATTTCAAAGTTCCATTATGCTCCTGTATAATGCAGGGCGGGCACAAGGACCCAGCATCGGCTGATGCTGTACTTCAGGTGAATAAATAGAAGCTGTACATGAGTTTCACATGTGTGTGTGTCTGTGTCTGCTTGTGAACAACATGAAGTGCTCTGCCCTCTGCCTCCTGACTGTGGCCCTGGCCTTTGTGACTCTGCTCTCTGCTGTGGAAGGTCAGTCACTTTGAATACTACACCTGTAAGTTTAAACCGAGAAAGAGAACAGAGGGATGTGATCACTATTAGGTCTGGATTCTTCCACAGTTTGGGATACATGCATCACAAATTTCGGACTTCCGGTCATTGCACAATGCATACTGGGAAGGATTTTCTGAAATAAGTGAGCATGGGATGCGATCTTTTCAAGTCTTTTGAACCATATCACTTTTGTTTCTGGTTCAAACATGGCGGTTTGATGCTCACTTTTTCGGAGGATCCTTTGCAGTATGCATTGCACGATGAGCGGAAGTCCGGAATTCGTGATGCATGTATTAAACCTGTACATCTTGTGTTTATTCAAATACTGTTTTACAGAAAAACAAAAATCTGTCATTTTATTTAATTTGGAGAGCTCTCCATAGAGAGATGAGTTTAATGCTCTTCTGTGAAATATTCTAGGTTATGCAGCAATTATTTTTCTCCCAGAGAATTATATTTGAATCCAGGCATTTGCTCATATGCACATTTCTGTTAAATATAAGCTGTTTTCTATTACTATGCTATAATTATTGTAACCAAAACTTGCAAGAGGGCCAAATTAAAACAGGCCAAGATCTCCATGGAGTTGTTCCCTCCACTAGATGGTTGCATTGTGCACCATTTAGCTAATAAATGCTTTAATGAAAAACAGATCAAGACAATTTCCAAGTGTTATAAGTGACTCATTCAAAGGTTCTGTTTCTAGTGTCTTTGGACAAAAGTGGAGTCTGTCTGTAGTAACTTCTTTGAAATCCACAACAGGTGTGATTAAACTCAAATGAGGAGAATGTCCTAGTGCGGACGGTTTTGGGATCTGTGTCAGTTCCTGCACCTCCGACCAAGACTGTGATGACATCTTGAAATGCTGCTCCAACGGCTGTGGAAAAACCTGTCAGGACCCAGTTATAACAAGTAATACAATCTTCAGTTTGTTTGACTGACTGTCCCAATACAATCAGAATACCTGATCATTATTTGATTTCAACTGAATTTATGTTTTGGAAATAATATTGATGGGCAGTCACTGAATATGGGTGTGGTATGGAATCTATTTTATAATACTAAACCACTTTATATAGCCTACAGTTATTTAAAGCAAACTTAACAAAACACTGACACTGTTTTTTCTACAGTTTCTCTTCAGAGTCCAAACCAGGAACGTGCCCTGATCTGATCCCTCATATCTTCGAGTGTGATGATACATGCTCCTCAGATAGCCATTGTGACAGGAACTACAATGTTGCTACAGCGGCTGTGGGTACCAGTGCACAAGCCCTGAGCATTGCAAAAAGGCAAATAAATTGCAATAATCAGCTCAGTCATTAAAAGGGTTAATCTCCTGAATCATGAATTAAGTACTTGCATAGCTCTTATTTTAACTATTTATTCGTATAGGCCTGCTTGTCAAAAGACTCACCTTTGCTGAGAAAATTGTGAAAAAATTGTGCAAATGCCTGAAATGGCTACAGTAACAGTTATAGTTACATGTTGTTGATGCATGTCCTGTGCTTTTTGTCCTGCTCTGTTTTCAGTTTGATTGTTTAATAAAGATGTCAAACTTCAACAGGATGTTTGTTGTTGTGTTAGATCGAAGGTAGTTGCAACAGTTAATACATTCAAATGTCCAGTGACCAAATATGGCTTTTTAGTTGTACCACATAGGGTGAGATAATGTGCAGTCAACTATTCAAACTTTGAATCCTCAAAACCTAGTTTTATTTTTCTTAAGTGACCCATATTTAAAAGTACTGTATTATGCAAATTTGACTCTTGTGAGTAAATCTGATTCATTAGTGTATCTGCATCTTCAAAGCTCAAAATGCTCTATTCCATCTTGTGTAGGCTATAGCTACCTTTTACCCTTTGTTCAATAGAGATTGGCAATTCTAGGGCAAAATGATTCTGGTGAAGGGTGGTGCATTGTTAAAAACACAGTGGAGCACTTCTTGTATGACCACATGACATCCCAAGGTAGAACAGAGTATTTTTGTCTGAAAGAAGAACTCAGCCTAAAAATGCAGGGTTTGTGTGTTCAGCGTGTATGAATGAAACAAAACAAAACTCCAGGTATGTTTTTCATGAGGAAACAACATTATAACATAGATTAAAAAAATAGCGTAAATCTGGTTCTTTAAGAATAGTATCCATATGTTTCAGCATAATGAAAAGTTAAAGGTTGTATGGAGGATTTTTTTTTGTTTCAAATTGTCAATGATAGCATTATAGAGATGCAGTAGCCTTGTAATTATGATGACCAAAAAAAAGAGAATAAAAATTCATCAACTCTGGACGTGGTGGGGCTAAACATTTGCCAATAGATAACGACCCTGCCTCGTTATCTGTTAGCTGACAGGCTGTCAATCAATCTCCCTACGTTTCTAGCGTAACTGACTTGCCTGCGCGCCGCCGGTACGTGGTTTACGTACGCCTGTCACGCAGTCCACAGACGCAAGCCGCACAGACGCTGTTTACTCCACCAACGCAACAGTTCTTAGCAGCTTTTTTTGACCTATATCTTCCTCGCAGTTAGCACAAAGTTTGTTGCAATGGCGACAAGAATCCAGGAGCAGTTAGCCGCAAAAGAAAGTACGTTTTTGAGATTGCTGAAAGAAGAAGACAAGGGGAAAATGTCTGAAAACGTAATTTTCAGTGCAAAGAAAGAGTCCGCTTGCTGCTGCGCGTTGTAGCAAGTTCATCTTCCCCCTGCTCCTCACTTCTCCGGGCACGGAATCTCCGCGCACCGCTCCCCTCTCCTCTCTCCTCTCCTGCTCCTCACTTCTCGTCCGCGCACAAAATGTCTGCGCACCCGCTCCCCCCGCTCCTCACTTCTCCGCCTTGCCTAACCAACACTGTAGTTAGTTGTTTACAAGTCATGTGCAGCGCACCGGCTGTAAACAAACCTGTTTCTGGCGCAAGGAGGAGGCCGGAGGCGTTTCTACGTAGGGAGCTGTAGGGCAGGGGGGGGTGGTTTCACGCATGCGCAACATTTGAAAAAGGACAAACAGTCGCTGGATTTCTCGTTCCTTGGAAAATCCTCTATACAACCTTTAAGATAGAAATGAAGAGCAATGAAATATTTATCACAACCTATTGTATCTTTTAAATAGCCAGAAGTCTTCAAAATGTCACCTATAACAAGAGGCTGAAACCATGAACAATTGTAGGGTTCAGTAGAACCCTGCGCCAGTGCTTGATTAGTTTGCATGCTTTTAGATTGAGTTTCATATAGTTAGCCTATATGTGGATAATATCAAGAACACATCCAGTAGTAAGATCCAACTATGTTGGACTTGATTATTTACTTAAATCACAAGGTCTGTAATCTGGTAACAGTAACAGTATGAGCTGTCAACGTTAACGTGTTAATGCATGCGATTAATCCAAACAAATGGATGTATCATCCACAAATTAACGCTGTTTTGCAGTCATGCATGTAAACTGGGCTGGAAGGTTTAACTGACAGGAGAAACACTGTATTCAGGAGCTGCTCTGATGACACGTGATTACAGTACACAGAAAATCCATAAATCCTCATGTGGATGAGCGCAAATCTCTCAATATCTGATGTTTATGAGTGCGGACCAAGTATTTCACCTAACTGCCACAGAACACTGGAAGTCTCCAGGCCAACTCTATTTGCAACTGTGACGATAAGAGCCAGTTACACCCGCAAGCGGTAATAAAGGGTCTTTAACCGTACTAAACCTGTTGTTTAGCTGGACTTAATTTAGATTTGTGAAATTAAGCTGATGCTATGCTGTTGTAAAAATGTGTTTGTGTTAAAATTCAAATTAAAAAAAATCTAAATTACAACATTAAAATTAGACTTTTAATCATTTTTCAAAAGTCTGATAAACCTGACATTTTTTTTTTATCGTTTGAGACCACTAGTCGGTCTAACTTGCCTTCCCCCTTCACAATGTTACAGTATGTTCTGCAACAAAGCAATATTAAATTTGGGCACTTTGTACAATATCCAGAATGCAAAGTCCCATACGGTTCCTCGCGTTATCTTTCAAGAGTGCCACTTGGGAAAATGTTCTCTCTATGTGGGCACTGAGTATTAGCAGAGACAGCAATCTGATGGCACCCAGTAAGTTCTTTAAAACATGAATTTCCCCCAGCGTCTTTGAAAGTTTCAGTCTCCATCCAAAACCTGTAATTATCCTGGTCACTTGAGAAGCCAGCTGATGCAACATTTCTCCACTGACAGTCCAAGATGTCAATGGAGCATGTAAAAAGCTCCATCAGCAACTCTCTGACCCTTGGTCTGTTTATGGTGGACATTACTGGCTTAGGGCAGATCAAATCCATTTTCCGCAGCATAGCCAGCGATTCGGTTAAATGCATTTGATATTGGTCCAACAGTTCTTTGATAAAAGCAAAGCACCTCTCAGAGATTATTTCCTTTTTTCAGTGCTCAGTGCGCTCACGCTGAGCTCATCTTGAAATGTGGTGCCCAAGACTGCACGTTGAGAGGAGAGGCATATGCTGGTTGATATTAGATTGAGTTCTCTGAGGTGACAGTTGCCGTTCACTCTAAAAACACTGGGCTTTGCAATTCTCTTCAGAGTGGACAAGTAAAGTCTCTCAAGATCCTGAATGACACTCAGAGTTTAAAGACCTTATTCACTGTTTTTATTTCCCCCAAGATTGGCCAAAGGAAGTACACGTAAAGTCTGTTTGCTTGATCACTGTACATTTTGCTCAGCAGCCTTGCCGTGTAGCAGTGTTCCGCACTGGCTGCAACACTGAAGTGCAGCTTCAGCGCATCCCGCTGTTGCAAAATTCTGTCGATACAGTCAGCTACACCAAATCAACGAGTGGTGCATGGTGACTGTAATTTCAGTGGGCACATGCCATCATTTAGAGTTTTGTATAGAATTTTGTAGTCAGATTGACTCTTGGCTGAGCGACTGTAGGTTGTAGGTTTCCCTTATCATAAAGTCGACATGGCTCAGGAGTTGATCCATGGCCTTATTTGCCACTATATCCAGTGAATGCCAAACATACTTTATACATTTTAGATAGGGCAGTATTTCTTTGAAAGTGTACACAGCGTGATTTTTTTTCTACCATAACTCTCGCTCCATCCTTACCATGTTTTTAATGTTTAGGCCATACTCTTGCATGAAGGTAAGTATCACGTCTGTGATGACCCTGGCGTTTGCGCTAGTCAGTTCAACTAATCCCAGGTACCAGCTGATGAATTTGCCATGTTTAATTGATGGATATTTAATGCATATGCACAGCAGTTTATTGACAAATATATTGGTGGTCTCATCCAAGTAGAGGGAGAATGGGGACTCACCTATATCGCTTTTTAGCTCACATCTAAAGTGAGGGGCCAGCACTGATTTTATGATGGCTGTGCACTTAGTGCAGTGCATTTTGAATTCTCCAAATTCTTCTTCTGTTATATCAGACAGGTCATTCACAGCATTGATTGACGTGTGGCAGGCCACTTATGTTGCGATTTGAAGTTCCCTTTTCTTCTGATCATTCATGATGTTACCCTCTCCAAAGCTTGTTGGCCAAGCGAACAACCTAATGCTAACATTCATATTCAGGAGACAGTTAGCCTTGTGTCTCTTTGTTTCAGCATGGTCTTTGAGGTCTCTTAGTGGAGCTTGTATCTCGCTCTTGTGCAAAAAAAAGCTGTCTAGCTCTTAAAAAATGGTTGCATGGCAGTTGGCGTGTAAACATTCTGAAATATATATATATATATATGTATATATATATATATATATATATATATATATATATATGTTTTTTGTTTTTTTTTTTGTCTTATGTGGGCCTATTTCGTTGTCCCCCTATTTTGCTGGTCAGCTCCACAGACGGGTGTGATCACTATATAGTTATAATAACTATAGTAATATAGTAATAAGTAAGTCTTTATTTATATAGCGCTTTTCCGCGTTTATGCGCTTAACCTCGCAAAACCACAGTCGCGTGTCAATGCAAGAGCAGCTCCACCGACAGCTGCAGCGGGACGCAAACGCGCAGCAGTGCCTCTGTGTTTGTCAATGGTAAAGATGATCAAACTTGACTGGGTGCATTTAGCCACTTATATTAGGTCTACCATGAAACTAACATCTGAACAGGCTTGTATTTACCTTCTGTACAGGCTGACTACGGCAAACATAAGGATTAGTACATTTTAAAGCATTTATTAACAGTCTTTCTGGACCTGGGCTCTTTCATATGACACAGAACTGCCCCAGGTGCACATTGTGCTGATGGTAAACGCACAAATACAACCAAAGATTCTTGTTCTCTATGTATTTTGATGGGGATACGTGCCTACGCTCACGTAGAGTGTCAAAAAATAGGATGGATCCTATTTTCTGAAATCTCAAGGTTACTTAATGTAACCCCAATACTTTGATAGAGTGAGGTGTTTCACTATGGGAATCGCCTCAGTCGTGACCATCCACAGAAGCTCCAATGGCACCATGTCTGTATTTGACAGACAGGATGACTGTATCTTGGGCTCCGCCCCCTCTACTGATCCAGTCAGCCTCTTCCTAATGCAGTCATTCTAAAGCGATTTCTTACCAC